AAAATTTTTTTTTTTTTTTTTTTTTTTTTTTTTTTAGAATGACCCTCCAAAATGCAAAAATATGCTATAAATTTTTATTGTGACCCCCTAATCCAGCTTGTTTGCGTCCGCCCCTGCCTAAAGAGCAAATTTATGGAATTCAACCATTTTTTTGTTAGTTGACCAGAAATTTAAGTTTGACCACTTCTTAACAATTTCAAATAGAGTAAAATGGCAGTTTTATATTCCAATATAAAACAATAAAGATACTGGTACCTTCCACTGGCCAACGCCGTGATGATGCCGCACCACAATAACCATCACCTGAATCCGTCAACTATCACTGCACCAGCGTTTCGCAAATTCATTCCTTCAAATCCCCCAGTTTCGCATGTTTAATCGCAAACATTTTCTTACCCGCAATCACTTTTTGTAATGTTAAAAAAGTCAAAGCATCATTTCAAGAATCGTATGAAACCGCACGGAAGCATTATAACAGTAATAGAAGCATCAATGATGAGTATAATTTCGATGCACTTCTTTCAATTCTTGAATTTCTTTGGCTTGCATCCTCGACTCTGACTTCAATATTCATTGAGGTTATAGATGGGACGCAAAAGGGGTTTGCAGGGTGGAATAATGGTGATTTCATGAAATATGTTAATGATAACAAATCATTTGAATTAACGTATAATTTCAATTAAATTTATAAATTATATTCGGATTCCATTTTATTCAAAATGCATCTTTTCTCTTCTCTTTTTAATCACATATTCTCCAATAAAATAATATTCTATACTCATTCTTTACATAATAATATTTCAACGAATATTTTTCCCTGCACACACATTTCAATCTTGCTGGGCTGCCTCCCTAACAACCTCCTCACAATAGAGCGTAGGAGGAGAGTTTTTCCTCTCTTTTTTTAATTGGGTTATGTTTGATGTATATCGCGGTGTACATCAAGGTGTGCACCCTCTTCCATGTGAGAGGTGGACATCTTGATGTACATTTCTTGACGTACAAGTGGAATGACCCTTTTTAATTCATATGGATCCTAACACATGTGAGAAAATGTCAACCTTCATGTCAAATATTTTTTTCTGGCAACATAGTTTAATTCAAACAGGACGTAAACTCTTTCTAACGGAAGCTAAAATTGGGAACTGGAATTTAAAAGTGGATTTGACATCTTATCCTGGGATTATTGAGTATAGTATGTACTTTAAAGGACGTTCCAAAATTTCATGCAGTCTGCTAACTTTTAATGATTGAGGGACCACTTTGATTCCTTAAAACAACAAACAGACCATCAATCAGGAACTACATAATTTTGCTAGCCCACAGAACCAAATTTGAGAGACTCGTTTCACTCGAATCATATGAATAATTCAATCAGATATAGCCCTTGTTTGAACCCCACTTTTTACGGAAGAATGAATTTTTAAATAGTGTATTGATGGAAAATGTGTAATTAAAAAATAATGAAAAGTTTTGAATTTACGTGTAATATTATTTTATTGAAAAATATGTGATTGAAATAATGTCGAAACACTATTAAAAAATACATTTTTTCAAAAGAACGAGGCTCAAACAAGGACATAGCCAAGTCCAAAAAAGCTAGTTTTCACTTCTTTTTATAAACTACCATGTCAACAAAAGTTAATACTTCAACAAGTTGATGCTAAAGCGTCCAGACAAATATTATTTATTGTCTTTTAATATTTTTCCATTCATTGAAAAGTGTTAATCACTTTAAAAAATTTGCAGTGTTTTCTTTATCCATCAACTCCAACGGGTCAGAACAGCAAAAGGAATATAAATATTACCATCTTTTTCCATTTCAAAATGCTAATATTTGTTTCAAATTTGAATCGACTGAGTGATTCAAATTTGTCACTACTTAAATAATAAAAATAGCATCGATTCTAAGATTCTATGTTAAGCTTTATGGGAAACTGTGAAATTATTCTGGTGCATAAAAAGGTAGTATTTGGCTGGACAATTTTTTCAAGATATTGGTGACAAATGCATGCGGCTAACAAAGACAATTCATTGAGAAGTTTCCATTCAAGCATCAACTTCAATCTACATCATTAAAGTAAAATAGATATCAAGTACAGTTTCTTCTTCCTGTAATACGTAAATTGGACCAAAACAAAACTAAAAACTAAAAGTGCAAGAGAAACCTTTGAAGGAACCTATTCTAAGTCAAAAGGTCAAATAGGAACAAGAAATGAATGGACAAGCTTTGATTGAGGCGACGAAGCAATGAATCCTTGTACTGATGCTATGATAAACGGATGCTCCTGCTCATGTTTTAGCCTTCTTTTTCACGACCCCACAAAAAGCATGCTGAATTGAGATGGCAATTTCAGTTTAAGCCGTTCAAATAGGTGGTACGTTGCAAATCACGTTCCAATTAATTTTCCTTACTTAACTTAAATATATCGTCTTAAATAGTATTATGGCAAGTAAGGGTCATTTCCCGCAAAGGGTTGATTCAATTATGTCAATTACACACTAAAAAATAAAATTAATAATAATATACAAAATATATTAAATGGAGGGGGTTTGGTTTGTTGAATTAAGGAAAGCGATAAATTTAAACTAGAAAAGACTTGAAATTTGAAATAAACAAATTGGTTCTTGATTGAATGCAAAAAAATGTGATTCGGAAATATTTCGTCACCACGAGAATGATTTTCATGTAAATTAATACAATAGATTTTCATTCTCAAGATTAATCATAATTCGAAAATAATTACAAGCTCAATCTCTTCTTACATATAGTCGAAGAAAACAGACTCTTCACTCAACCCTATTCATTAAACAACCTAGATCAAGCTCTCTAGATTTAATTTAACAAATGCATTATGACAAAAGAAATGAATTAAATTAAGAGTAATCTCGCAAACTCGGTTTACTAACTTAAGTATTAATCAACATACGTTCAATTGAAAATTCTTCATAATCTATCGAAATGTAATTGCTACTAAGTTTTAAAATCAATAGCTATTACGTACTACTAATCCCAAAATAGTATTCATCGAAACAACTTAATTATTTAGTTGTACACCTAAACAATCAAGAAGAACAAAATAAACATTTAACACAATGAATTAAACATATCAATCAAGAGAACTATAAAACACAAATTAATTGAAAATCATAACTCGGGTTTAAAATAATCCCCGATCACATATATTTAGTTATCCATGAAATATTCACAAATAACCATCAAATTCTTACAACACAATAATGGAAAATAGGGAAAGAAAAGCTTATTGATAATGGAGAAATAGTTGAGGGTTTCTTCAATATCAAATCATCATCTTCTCCAAGCTACTTCACCATAATCATGCCCCAAATTTTCTCCAAAATATCTAAGGAAACCAAACTAAAAGATGGAAGAAAAAGAAAAAGAAAAGAAAAGAAAAAGAAAGAAAGAAAGAAAAACAAAATAAACGGCAGTGAAGAAGCTCCAGCCGCTGCCCAAAAATTGTAGAAAAGGAAAGTCCCCAGCTTCTAGCAATTCAGTGGGTTTTTAAGTAAAACCTGAGGGTAATTGCAGCTTTTGCTCCCTGAAATTTAAGGGAATAATTAAAGTGACTAGGCGCCAACCATTCTGCCCAGTTGCCGCAGTTTACTGCCCCCATTTACTCCTCTTGTTTCTTTTTTTTTAAATCTTCTTTCAGCTGCGTCGTCTTCTTCGTTTGCCTTCATCTTTAGCTCGTTTATCGCATAAATTCCTTCTATTCATCGTTTAATCTCGAGTTTTCACCTACAAAATAAAAATAAGAAAATTAAGTAATAAATTGCTAATAAAACTTGCAAGTATCTAAGTTTAGTGGTCTGAATAAGCGTAATAAACACGCATTTATCAATAGGTCAGCTGCTAAGATTAGAATAAAACATCTTAAAAGGAAAAATCCATCTCCAGAAAATGTGCTCTGGACATCAGTAAAAGCAGAATTACGGTTCAAACCTAACAAGGTGAAGCCAATAGTTGTTTGGAATTCAAGGAAGAAGAGTTCTCGATAAAAATAAATAAAAAACATCGAGATGAAAATGATAGCACAAGAATATTATGCATAAGTTCTAGAGTTGCTTCCAAAAATTGTGTTTATGTTACAATTTAATGCTATGTTTCAAAACTATTTTTATTACTACTATATGCGGTTGAAACATTAGGTAATTCCGAAGGAAGATAACCAAACACGAATACCATATTTAATTCATCAGAAGTAAACAATATTAGCTAAAAATTATTCTCTGTTTTTGCTTTTGAAAATGAGCAAACGTCGAAATATATTAACTTGTTATTTGAACTGAAAACTATTTGGTGAAATTGAATCTAAACACATCCTACCTTTGTCTAGCAAGCTGAAACGTTTTAATCCAAACTATTTATTTGTCATATTGCCCATCTAGTGTTGGTTTAAAACGCTAAAGAATAATATTAACAAAAAACGAAAATAAGCTTTGAGGTATAATATGCCTTTTCTTAAGATTCCACAACTCTGGAAATGAGTGTTGCATCTGATCGAGAAGACAAAATGGAAAAGAGTTCATGGAGTTTCTACCAGTTTTAATACCACAGCACGTGAAAGTGGCTAACAACCCAAGATTCAAAGCATCATGAAATAATTTGCAAGTTTCCTCTATTTAGCTGTTCATGAAGAAGATAATGCAGATAAGCAAAGAAATGCAAAAGACACTCACAGAAAGAGATTCGGGATCTCCACCACTTGTTCCACTAACAAAAGGTTCAACAAGGTAGTCAACAACCTTACAAATGATAAAAAGGCAGTACGACATGCATGGAAGTCAAAATCACAGAGATGCGTATGATCACTAAATAAGCCTGAGAAAGAATCTTAGTTTTGGAGGAAAATAACAGAAACAAATAAAAGAAGACCAGAAAAGACGGAACAATTTGTGGTTTAGTGGAGAATGTAGCCTGAAATTGAGCTCGATACGATGGAACATCTAACCCAGATAATTTTGAAAAAATGTTTAGCATATCTGTTTCAAATGACAGATCAAAAGATCTATTATAGAGAATGTAGAGTATCCAAAGTACCTCTTTACCGAAATGACGCTCAAGGAAAGCACCAACACTGCAGAGAAGCTTACACAAGTATATGTTGATCACATGTTTAAAGTCTGTCTCTCAGATTGAAGAAAAACAACAAATGGCACATGTTGTGATGTCAATTGAGATTCCAAAATGCGGGCTGGCATACTGCTTTCAAAGACCATCTATTTACAACAGCAAATCTATTATCAATGGCGGTAGTGCACAAAATATAAGTGAAACTTTCCCTATTGTTAAAAATGGCATGCTCTTAAACAGGGATGAAAACATTATTTTTGATGAAGTGAAATTTTTATGATTGCCATGAGTAGACAGTAAAGGTGTGAACAAGACTCTAGAAATATAACAGCAGCAAAGACATTCTAGAGGAAGCTCGTGTCCTTAAGCATTATCTATATATTATTTACCTTTCGGAGTGTCAGATACCTTTGGGAGGTTATTCATCTTCCACAGAAATGGCTCCAGTAGTATATGAAGCTGTAAAGAGTAATCACATTCATTGATTAACTTTAATTGAGATAAATAATGGTCACTACTTCCAGAAAGACAGAATAAATGAAACAAGTGAACAAAAAAGATGAAATGCGGGTTCGTTGCGAGAGATAGTATACCTTCGTGCTAACCAACATTTGACCCCGCAGAAAGGAAATTGCTTCTGATCAAAGCAATGGTCTGATGGTATCCGAAATAGCAATTTAGCCAACAAGTCATAAGATGTGTGCAAGATGAATCAGTCCATTATTGCATTACCAAGGTAGAAGCATATAAATTGGCAATGCAAAATTTCAGGATAAAAAATAGCAAATGAAGTTTTTGCTAGTACTGGCGCCCCAATTTTTGCAATATACTGCTTGTTCTGTGAAATTGGCTGCAGTAGGAATGCCATGAAAAGAGATGTAACAAAATTCAAAAGTTATTCATTAAACGCTTGAAATCTTTAGGATAACTATAACTGGTTAGCATACTCGTGAAGTATCAGATAAGTCCAACACTAGCAGTGTTTTGAATTTAGCGCAAGAGAATAGCAAGATGAAATAATAAACTCAAAACAAGAACACCAAGATTTTAGGTAAAAACCCAAGATGAAAAAGTACCACGGGCAGATGAGAGTATTTCACTATGAGTCCATAATGAATGTATTACAAGCAAGATTTCAATACTCTCAATCAAGTTCTAAAGCTTTCAACAGTTGTATGAATGTTATCTTTCAATACAAAACATCGCTGCTTATATATGAGCCCTAAAAATCGAGTTGTAGTTGGGATAAAGAAAACGCGTCAGAATGCGAAATGGGTCTGGGCCGGATAAATGTGTCACTCGAGCGCTAGCCTGGTGGTAAGCGAGCTGCGCTCGCCACTCAAGTAGTAGACTTGCATTAAGCGAGCAGCGGTGCAGGCACTCCAGCACTACATGTATGGCGCTGGATGCTGTCTTTTAGGATAAAACTGCTTTCAAGGCTTCTGATGGCTCCAAGGTGCCATGATCATGCTGCTGGGATGCCCAGCTCCATTTCCAAGAGTCCCAAAACCATCTTATGACTTATCCAAAGTCCTTTTCCGACGAAACTCCAAATCCAATGTAATTTTGATCTCTCCAAGATCACTTCAACAAAGCTCCAATTACCCAACAGAATTTGAGTCACACCACAAGAAGTAGAATAAGGCCAACCTATTGTACATAAGAAAGGGTAAAACATTAAAAATGTAAAAAGCATCCTTACAAATTCCTGCTTTTTCGTAAGTGCAAGATTATCGAGCAGAAATCCAACTTCTTCCTCACTTGCAGTCTGCACATTTATGAAAATTTATTCTTGCAAGCATTATGAAGATAATTAGTAAATTGAGAAGGGTTAGATTTTCCAATAACATGGACCCTAGAAACTTTTATCTTGTATGAAATGTACCATTGTGATTGCCCCTTCATCCCATGTCAAACCATCTTGTGAAAGGCTTCGTAACTTTCCTCCAGATCTCCCATGAGCTTCAAGTACTTTGACATTTAAGCCAGGCAATTTCAGCTTGTAAGCTACAGCAAGCCTACTACACAAAAAAAAAAAAAAAAAGGGGGGGGGGGGGACAAAAATATTAGCTGAGGATGGAGAAAAAAATCTTTTTAAATGAACTTTTGACGTCAAATAAGGTAATGAAAACACTCTCGGAAAAACACCAAAAATGATCGATTGGGTTCAGCACATGGGCGGATTTGGCAGTGAGCTGCACTTGACTGTAGCCCATTGTTGCCCGAGCCCAGATGTATGACAAAATGATAAAATTAGTTGAAAATTCGTTTTAATTGTAATACATAGCCCATCAACAATTATTTTCAATTGGTTAGCCCACCTTAATTTGTCAACTAATTTTTTCTTTTAATTTTTGGCCCAATTTTTAAAACAAACTTATTTAATTTAAACAATACTTTTTCTTCAATATTCATGTCATTTGAAAACTAGAAATAATTCCCCACTTTAAACCCCAAATCTTTTCACCTATTCACAAGTCGTCGATCGTGCGATCGCAGACCACCGGACCACCGACCTCAAGTATTATAAATTGTAAGTATTTTCATGTTTAGCAACAAAGAATCGAACTAGTTGAGGTTTGAGGAGTATCTTTTTGGATGAAATTTCACTTTCCATAGCGTTTTGTAAGTGGTAAATTGTAAGTTGCTTACTGGTAAATGGTAATAGCATCACATTTAAATTATAATTATTTTGGTAAATGCCAAAATGGTGTGCAAAGCATCCATAGCATGTTAGCTTTCATTGTGCCATTGTGAGTTGCTTATTGGGATTCTGGGAAAATGGAAATATCAGCTTTCATTGTGCAATTGCCAATTGAAAATTGTGCAATTAAAGAAAGTAGACAACTAGTGTCTGGTAATTAAACATTAAAACAAAGCTACTTTATTGGTAATTAAACAAAGCTATTTTCTATGCAATTTTGCTTGGTGAATTTGATGATTATCAATTTATGTTTATGGTTTTATCAATTTATGCTTATGGCATAATAAAGTATTTTGATTTTTATGGTTTTAAATTTAATAAAAAAGAAGATCGACATTGAACATCGTTGGGTACAACTATAATAGATAACATTATATTGCGATTTTTCTTATTGTATATAAATTTTGTTCATACATTAAATTTTTAAATTTTTTTGCCCCCCGTAGCATTAATTCCTAGCTCCGCCCCTGGTTCAGCATATCCAGATCTGAAATTATAGAACCTGTGAGATATAAATCCAGATACATAACATAAATAAACAAACATCAACGTATCCGTTAACAATTTTCAGTTTTCAGAATTTCAGATTGTGTAGAAATGTAACCTTTTACCAATTCAGATTCTGGGAAAAATGGAAATAATTACAAGCCTTTAACGAGCAACCCATATTTGCATGAATAGAAAAAGATGTAAGCTTCTCAGTAAAAAGCTGCATCTTTCTTACTCCATGTACCTCAATATTTGGAATCAACACTCCGACCCCACCTAAAAAAAGGATATATTTTCATATGATACTCATTGCGATTAAATTATTATGTTTTTAACATCCAAGCATGGACTACATTCAAGAGACTTCTAATTTGCCACTAAAATATATTTCTTTAAGAACAGATAATTAAACATAAATTTATGATGTACTAAAAAGTAATGAAAGTGCAAAGCTCCCAATAAAAATCAATTACAAAGTTAACAATTTTTATCCCTTTTTTCCATAATGTATGATGCATGTGTATGCATTTGTTTTTTCATTTTCCATGTGTATGGATGCACATGTCGTATTTCTTTTTTCTATTTTAATTTAATAACTGATCCTGATATATGGAAATTGCATTTTGAGAATTAACATATCGGTATATATGTATTGCATATGGAATATTCTTCTACCTCAGTAGTTAAGAAGATCCAAGGAAATAGGATGAGACCCCAGCATCACAGCAAGACATAGAGAAGGAATGCCCAAAGGAAAAGGGTAAGAAAATGGGAACAAGAGCGAAGTTAATAGAGAGACAGGGGGATGTAGAAGTAGTGTGTAGGGCCTTTCAGCATAATGGAAAAAATGTAACCCATATGTTTAGAGTGTGCTATTTCTTCCAAAGATACTTTGGCCCTTAATCAGTTAATTGGGACAGCCTACACTGTCCTTCTAAAAGCCTTGTTCATGCCATCCATGTGCTTGATCCTTGCTTAGCAAAGTCAACAATGCAGAGGAAATGGGACTCGAAGTGGACGCATGATCAGAAATAGCTACATGGGTGATTTGTGCCCTTTGCTCTATCCACCAATCCATTTATCTCTATTCATTTCCGTTCCCCCAAAGGGTGCTAGTCCAATCGGAGACCTAACCTCTATTGACTTAGACTCCCAAGCATGGGTGTTACACGGGGTTAATCAATTTTTAAAGACAATTATCTTGTCTTCCCAATTTAAAGTTCTAGAATTCGATCCTTGGCCCTAGCATGGGCCTCCTGCTTGGTCATGGTGGAGGTTACAAACTTATACCATCATTCCTTGGAAATGGTCATACTCTGTGTGCATATGAATGTCAAGCTCCAAAAGGTCTCGAACGAGGATGTGTCCCAAGTTGATAATTGAAGTGTACTCCCTCTTATCCTTTGGTCACAAGTTCGATTTCCCTACCAACACTTTCTCAGTCGAGCCTGTTGCACAAAGCTTACCTAATGTGGTCTACGTAACTGACATGGTTTGCAGGCTATTGCGTTAACCCGATGGTTTACCAAGTACGCATCTGAATGGTAACGACTGCGAGTTCCCCCATCATAAAAAAATAAAATAAAATAAAAGTGGTCGTGTTTATAAAAGAAGAATAGTAAAGATGCCAATAATGGAGACTTCAGTGATATAAAAGCAAAGGTTCCAGATAGCATAATGAAGAAAATTAGCCCTTGTTTGAACCACATTATTTTTATAAGAATGCATTTCTAAATAGTGTATTGATGGGAAATGTGCAGTTAAAAAATAAAAAAATGTTTTAGATTTACGTATAATATTATTTTATTGAAAATGTGTGATTGAAATGATATTAAATTACTGTTTAATAATGTATTTTTTAAAAGAATGTAACTCAAACATGACCTTAGTCAATGTAGTTAAAATTCTTTAACATTGACTCAGTTGAAATATGTATTTAAAAATTGACAATATATGGTAACGGTAAAAGACGAAATAAGTTTACAAGATCATGTCATTAAATTTAAAAGATTGATTATGATTTTTAATTGTAACGTGATATGCATGTCGTCGTGGACGTCCAATAAACTTGGACTATTCTTGCCAACATATTCGATAGGATCTAAAAATGTGATTGCCAATAATTACATACTAATTATTAAATAATTTAGAAATTAATTGATCTAGACTAAGGTCACATTTAAATTAATTAAAAATCCTTGACATTTATAGGGTAAAGGATTTAGTGCTTTCCACTATAAACGATGAAATCATGAAATTAACGGACAAATACATTGCAGAATGGACCAACTTTGCAATTTGAACTCTTCCTAGAAAACAATATATTCCATTTGCCGTCAGTCTTTAAAACAATCTTGCTACATATACACCATAGTTTACACTCCGATTTATCGAATTACCACTTAACACAATTTCACATCATCTTATACATTTAATTCAACCGTCACAATCTTATTACATTATTTATCTATCAACAAGGATGTCAAAATTAATATACAAATAGCTCAATTGTTTTAAGTTTAATATAATTAATGACAGGACCTTGCTGTTTGTAAAGGGAGGATTTGACACCCTCCTTGACAGAACAGACTCATAGGGGGAGGGAGGAGCTATTTTTTATCATTTTTTTCACCCGGGTCTCACTCGAATGTAAGAATCTGTCAAAAATGTGGTAAACCATTTTTCTGTACAAATGGTATTTTCCTTAATGCCATGATAATTGCATCAAGAAATTAAATCCCACTTCAGATTGAGTAATTAGTCATACGTTTTAACTAATTCCTTAGAACACTTTGTTTAAGATAATCCGTTGCTTCAAGTTTGGAAAAGTGAGGAGGAATCATAATATTAGCTTTCTTAAGGTAGCAGCAAATTATGTGTGTTAGTTAGAGATCCTATTCCTAACAAACCAAACCAAAATTTGAATAAAATTGAGGCTGATTGCATTTCTGAATTCAAATGATTGATAAAGTAGTTAAAAAGTTTGAAATGACCAATTGCGTTTGCTTGGCAATAGACAGTGGGAAAATTGTTTACAAGTAAACTATAAATGGACCCGCACGCACCCACTAATTCATTCAAAATTTAAATCAATCACATATCGCGCGTGGGTGTGTGTTTGTGTTTCTATTACTGCTCCAAATTTGTAGAAATATTAAGAACATAAAAATGATTTTTTGAAATAAAAGTGAGTTTTTGACTCCCCCCCCCCCCCCCCCCCAATTTTGTAGAAAAATTAATGGGTGGAATAGTGATTTTTTGAAAAATGAGTGATTGAAAAAGAAGGAAAATTTTTCGATTTACGTGTAATATTATTTTATGGAAGATTCTGTAGTTGAAAATAAGAGATAGAAAAATGAAATGTAATGGAATAGAATTATAGAAATTAATGGGGGTCAAACGAGGGCTTAATTATAAAATTCTTATGTATAAAAAGGTCAAGGGACTTTTCTCTTCCACAACATAAAAATTTTATCCGTTAAAATTGATATCTCCTCTTAAATTATACCGCGTATTACTTTCAAGCCAACCCTTTTTCTTTCATTACGTTACAAGTGATCTCGACTATCATATACAAATTAATTAATTTCAATTTTGAATTTTCAAAGTCATACTTATTAAAAATGATCTAAATTCTTATACGCATATTATTGTTTTCATATTTAATTGTTATAGGATTGTATCTATTAAGACTTCGAGTCCATCTTAATAAGACCAACTTTATTAAATGGAGAAGCTCAAAATCTTTATAAATTGGTATTTATTTCGGTATTAAACCGATGTGAGATAACACATCCCTTATCAGTATCCTCAATGTTCTTCTAGAATATAGTGGCTTGTTTGATAAAATCAATCTAGGTATATTTGAAATTATTTAAGTCTATTAAGATGAGTAACACAAAAAAATTTTTTTATCAAGTATTTTCATGTTTAAACGGTGTTATATAATTCTTTTGAGAAGAGAAAAGAGACCCATAAAATGGTCAAGAAAGTTCCCATGTCTTAAATGCATGGGAAAGTGTTGTATTAATGAATAAAATATGAATAATTTTCGGTGTACATTATGGACCCGGCATCCCTCCAATAGGGAGACGTCATGTGTGCATTATGAATAACATAATGTACACCAAGCACATCTCATAAAATATAGGGGAAGAAATTAAAATAGAATAAATTCATTATAATCGATATCTATGATGAAGATCCTTTGGTCGAGAGTCCAGATTCGCATGTAATGTTACCGTACGCGTTTAGGTTCAATGCTCCATCCGTAAAAATATTAATTTATGCATTTCAGATCTTAGTCTTCAAATTATGTTTTGTCCTTTTATCCAGATAGATTTATTTTCTCAACCATTTTGACTTTGTCTAAAAAAATAAAATTTCACCAATTTTTTTCTTGTCTTCATGTTCTAAAATTTCAGATCCAAAAATGGAATTACCAATCTTGAATCACGTGTAATTAAGCATTGAACATGGGTTATGAATTATTAATTATTTGTTGCCGATTATTTAACCTGTTGATGTTCATGTTAAGATGAATTTACTAAATTGGTTCGCTCTATATTCTAAAGTGATTTAATTACACGATTATCCAAAAAGATCAATCACTTACATGATTTAATTCACCTTATCCAGGGGCAACATCTTTCGTTCTCAAAAGCTTTGACATGTCTAGAACGATCAACCATTTATATGATTTTGTTAGGTTTTGAACATTGCACAATGGAATGGTCCATTTCCAATGAACAATCTATCCTTATTGCTTAAAGATGTCATGACTATAGTTTGGACGAGTCTTACATATAAATTACACTATATATTTTATGCTTGTACTTATATCATGACAATAACATTGGTCCATATAGATAAGATCGAGATTTTGTATAATTTCTTTATCAAAATTTATTTTTTTTCATCACGAAACTAGTTTTACTTACTCATTTGGTCTACTGAGTTCGATATATTAACTTCAAATCTCATCAATCACGTTAGACTAAGCACGATCTAGTCAGATTCATTCACTTGCACATATGCAATTCATGTTGATCTCACCTTGTAACAATTATACATGATAAAAGAATTCGAAATTGGGCGAAACGATATTCTTATGACTTCAAAGGGCTTTTACCGTCCGTGGCTTATATAATCATTGCCATATTGGTTTGCTAGTCTCCTACCTTCTCATTGTCCGACTCAAGAAGTTTGAATTTGTTCGATTCGAATATTAATTAGTCTTGATTTGACAGGGTTTACGTGAAGCCCCCTTAGCTCTGCCAGGCATTGCACAAATTGAACTTGGCAAAAGGAAAGAAAGATGCAGTTGGTTGAAAATGAAGAAGTCAATTATTCATATAGATAACATGAAGACTTGAACTTTTGGAAAATCTGCAAAATAAATAATAGCAAGAAAATTATAGTGACGACGGCACCGACCACTGAACAGTACGTGGATAAGGCAATAAAATGTTGGTCAAAAGATGAGATGTTGACTAGGGTCACTGCATCAACTCTACACTTGGCTTCTCAAATACTCACATTGACTACCAAAGTAAATACAAATAGAGTAACTTTTGCTTACACTGTTGGAGAAAGTGCAACCAAGACTACTGCACCGTAGATATTCTGGTAAGATACTGCCAGTGTGCGTGATTTTTCTCTGCATAACATTGTCAATTCTAACTCTTTTTGAGTAGAAATAAATATTTACCTACTGCAAAAGACGTATTGAACAATTCCATCTTTCGACATTATTACTACATAAAATTCAAATCTTACAGAAAGAGTGTTCTTTAAGTTGGGTCATGAATTTTACGAAAATTTGACTGCACATATCGTGCATAAAATATAGGGAAATTTGCAAGGTAACCCTACAGATGTTCATTCAATGAACAATCTATCCTTATTGCTTAAAGATGTCATGACTATAGTTTGGACGAGTCTTACATATAAATTACACTATATATTTTTTTACATATATTTTATGCTTGTACTTATATCATGACAATAACATTGGTCCATATAGATTAGATCGAGATTTTGGATAATTTCTTTATCAATTTTTTTTTTAATCACGAAACTAGTTTTACTTACTCATTTGGTCTACTGAGTTCGATATATTAACTTCAAATCTCATCAATCACGTTAGACTAAGCACGATCTAGTCAGATTCATTCACTTGCACATATGCAATTCATGTTGATCTCACCTTGTAACAATTATACATGATAAAAGAATTCGAAATTGGGCGAAACGATATTCTTGTGACTTCAAAGGGCTTTTACCGTCCGTGGCTTATATAATCATTGCCATATTGGTTTGCTAGTCTCCTACCTTCTCATTGTCCGACTCAAGAAGTTTGAATTTGTTCGATTCGAATATTAATTAGTCTTGATTTGACAGGGTTTACGTGAAGCCCCCTTAGCTCTGCCAGGCATTGCACAAATTGAACTTGGCAAAAGGAAAGAAAGATGCAGTTGGTTGAAAATGAAGAAGTCAATTATTCATATAGATAACATGAAGACTTGAACTTTTGGAAAATCTGCAAAATAAATAATAGCAAGAAAATTATAGTGACGACGGCACCGACCACTGAACAGTACGTGGATAAGGCAATAAAATGTTGGTCAAAAGATGAGATGTTGACTAGGGTCACTGCATCAACTCTACACTTGGCTTCTCAAATACTCACATTGACTACCAAAGTAAATACAAATAGAGTAACTTTTGCTTACACTGTTGGAGAAAGTGCAACCAAGACTACTGCACCGTAGATATTCTGGTAAGATACTGCCAGTGTGCGTGATTTTTCTCTGTATAACATTGTCAATTCTAACTCTTTTTGAGTAGAAATAAATATTTACCTACTGCAAAAGACGTATTAAACAATTCCATCTTTCGACATTATTACTACATAAAATTCAAATCTTACAGAAAGAGTGTTCTTTAAGTTGGGTCATGAATTTTACGAAAATTTGACTGCACATATCGTGCATAAAATATAGGGAAATTTGCAAGGTAACCCTACAGATGTTCATTTTCAACCGAGGTGGCTAGATTGAGGAAAGAGGCCCTTATGCTTAGTGAAACGGAGAAAAGTTTTTAATATGAAAAAGCTAAGTGTACTTATCTGAAAAACAGTGATAACTATACTAAGTTCTTCCATTCGGTGGTAAAGAGAAATCACAAGAGGAACTACTTTGCTACCGTTTTGAAAAGAGATGGGACCTATACTTCTTCTCATATGGAAGTGGTGGATGAATTCTTGAGCTTCTACGGGGACTTACTTGGAAAATTTTCCCCGTACAACCTATTGCGGCCGAGGTTTTGAAGAATGGACCCATGCTAATGGAAGAGCAAGCTTCATCACTTATGCTTGAAATTTCAAATCAAGAGATTAAAGAGGCTTTGTTAAATATTGAGGATGATAAATCGTCGGGCCTAGATGAATATACATCTTGCTTTTTTAAGGAAAGCATATGATTCGGTGAATTGGGATTTTCTCAAAAGCGTACTTGAAGGTTTGGACTTTCTAACTAAATTTATTGGTTGGGTTATGGAATGTATTTCTACTCCTACCTATTCCATCGCACTCAATGGTAGTCTACATAGCTTCTTTAAAGGTAGAAGGGGGATTAGACAAGGCGATCCGTTATCTCCATTTTTGTTTGTTCTTTGCCGAGTATTTTTTGAGAATGTTGACAGATGAAACCAAGAATAGTGATTTCAACTATCACCTTAAATGTAGCACATTAAAGATCACACATCTAGTTTTTGTCGACGATTTGATGCTCTTTGCTAAAGGTGATTTATATAACGGTTAGAATTTTGATGAATTCTCTTTCTAAGTTTGAGGATGTGTCAAGATTTACCATGAATGCTAGCAAATCTAGCATGTATACGACGGGCATTCATGGACAAAAGCTAGACAATATTGTTGCATTGACCAACATCCCTAAAGGCTCTATGCCGTTCCAATATTTGGGAATTTCATTTGTCGCCAAGAAATTAAAAATTAGCTCATATGATGTGCTCCTTGATAAATTTTCAACCTACATTTGTGCATGGACAAGATCTCATTTTTCTTATGCTAGTAGGATAGAGCTTGTTAGAGTCGTACTACATGGTGTAGAATGTTTTTGGATATCTATATTTCCCATCCCATCTACAGTAGCTTCGAAAATTATTAAGCCCTTGTTTGAGCCCCATTCTTTTGATAAAAATGAATTTTTGAATAGTGTATTGATGGAAAATTATGGTTAAAAAATAAGGAAAAATTTTTGGATTTGCGTATAATATTATTTTATTGAAAAATGTATTATTGAAATGATGTCAAACACCGTTTAAGAATGTATTTTTTTTTTTCAAAGAATGAGCTTTGCCAAAATTTTCTTTGGGGTACTAAAAAATCATTGGTTGTTTAGAGTACCATTTGCCTACGAAAGGAGGAGAGCGGCCTTGGTTTTAGAGATATAAAAAGCTAGAATTAAGCTCTTCTTGCCAAAGTCCTTTGGAATATTCATGCTAAGAATAATACTTTATGGGTAAAATGGATTAACCAAGTATACCTTCGAGGGAAGTATTTTTGGAGTACACGGCAAGGAAAAGTGACTCTCAATTGCTCAAAAGATTGTTGAAAATAAGAGACGTGATTGTTGGGAATTTGGGGACTGCTCAAACTGCTAGAAGCATGTTGTCCAACTTGAGTAATGCTGGCTAGTTTTGCGTTCGGGTTGGTTACGACCATTTTCAGTCGAAGGGAGAAATGAAGGTGTGGACGAGGGAGGTTTGGAGTTCTTTTATCACTCCAAAACATGCTTTTATCTTATGGTTGGGTGCCTAATCGAAACTACTAACTAAGGATCGATTGTTGCATCTTAACATTGACAAGAATTGTATTTTTTGTGGGTCACACTTGGAAACGGGACAACATTTATTTTTCAACTCTTTAACCTCTAGGAGGATCAATGCTTGGATGGAGATCAGGAGATTGATGACTACAATTCCGAATGCTTTGAAGTGGATCAATAAAGAGGTCCGGGGACATCTTTGCAAAGTAAATCCCAAAAAATTATACTTACTAGTACCACTTACTATATTTGGATGGCATGGAATAGAATTTTTTTTGAGGAACTTAGTCCACATGTGAAAAGTATAGTTAGACGAATTAAAATACACATATACAAGATTATATTTGTTTTGTACCGTAAGTTTTGATTCATTTTTTGAGTATTTAGCGATGGGATTATAGTGCTTATTGTTTGTACATCTTTATCATTTTATTTGCCTGGAGATGCTCGGAGTAATTGTATTTCACTTTGTTCTTGTTTGCTCGAGTATGCTTGAAATACTTGTAAATGAGTTTTGATCAAAAGATTTTACATTGACCGATAAGAAAAATATAGGAAAATTTGAAGTTGAGTTTTCGAATCTTTCAAAACAATGCGAATAGATCAAAATAAGCGGTAAAAGGATACCTAGACGGTTTCCCTTCAAAAATCCGTTACTTGACCAAAATTCAAACGTTTGACCATAATTTAATAATAAATAATTTTTTAACCTTTATTAATTAAAACGATAAAAATTTGAATAGGAGGTTACAAACCTTATCAAAATTCTTAATAAATATGTTCTTGAAGGACTTCTAATGATTATAATAAAAAAATCTTTTAGTTAATGAAAATGAATTCCACAATTTTTTTACCACTCGATCATCTATCTCAATTTAATTTATTTATTTTTCCAAATAATATATATGATGACATAAACCAGCGTCATAAGAACAAATTTCCGGATCAACCAATTTGATTGGAGGTCCAAAATCAAAATCATTCTTTTTCTAATGTGCGGACCCATTGTTGATTTGAAGAGGAAATGTCACGTAATTAGCAGATGATAGCTTGAAGTTGGCGTGGTTGATCATCTCATCTCAGGATTCCGTGCAGCTGATGCACAGTATTTTATTTTCAATTGCCAATGCCATCCCCGCCTCTCTTTTTTAACCCAACCCTAACCGTGGTTGGTTAATGTGAAAAATGCCAATAAATAACCCTCAACTCCCTTTCTGTCTCTGGCGCTCACTGCTTTCAAGTTTCTCCTCTCTCTCTCTCTCGTCTCCATTCTCTCTAGTGAGAGAAACTAATAAACAACACTGCTAGCTCGTACTTCTCCACCTATAAATAGCTATACGATATATACACGCACGGAGAGTGTGTGTGTGTGTCTTGTGAAGGTTTATAGTAGTGAAGTTGGTTTCTCCACCTAGTGTTCAGCCGGAAATGATGGTGTTAAGGCACGGAGGGGGTGGGGGAGGTTTTCTCGCCGGCAAACAGGTGGTTCCAGTGGACTATGAAGCGGAGGTCTCGCAGCGACTTCTAGAAGCGTCGCTTTCTAACGATCTGAAATCGGTATACGAATGCCTTACCGATCCGTTCGTTGACGTGAACTACATTGGTGCTGTTTGCCTGAAGATTCGCAAGATGGAGCTGATTTTGCGCGAGGAATTGCCGAGCGAAGTTTGCGTCTATTGGGAGGAGTTTCGGACTGATGTTACGGCATTGTTTATCGCGGTTCACAATGGAAATGTGGTTCTCGCGAGGAAATTACTGGTAAGTTGAGCTTGATTGTTGATATCTATACTATTGTGTTTTGTTGATTCTGATTCTTTCTCATTTTATCTTTCCACAGCTTATCTGCTTTTTTTCGATTTTAAACTGATCAGATATACTCCCTGTGGCGTGTGATTTTATTTCATTTTTGGATTACTGAAATCTTGGTTTGTTCGTTTTTGCCATATTTTATACTTTTTATTCATTTCAGGCTTTATTCAAAATTTGAAATTTGGTGAGTTAATGTTACCTCTTATCTGAACTTTTTGAAATGCCATAATCGTTTGAATTTTGAACGGCAAGCTTCATATATGCTGCGTCATTACTGGCACCTTAAAAAACAGAAGTAATTTCCCCAAAGCTACGCTGCACCATCCACCTTATGCCAATTTGAGGCTTTTAGACGTTTAGAGGCCAAACTCTCACTGTCTTTTGACTATTACTCTCGTCCTTTACCGCTTTGCTCTCTAAATTGACTTGATAAATCTGATTCAAAAAAATTCATTGTGGATATCTATTTAATTTGCTACTGTAAATATTTTGCTTTGTTATTTGATCTATCGATATTTACAGTGTACAGTGGTTTATGTTTCACCTGATACTCCTAACAAAAGTTTACTAAGCCAAATTTGCACTTGTTTTCAGCTATATTTTGGAAGCCTCTTGCAATTTATTCACTATTTTTTGTATTGTACCCCAATTTCGTGTTTTATTGTTCGTATGCAACCTTTAGGATCCTAGATCTTGACCTTTGTTTATGGGACTTCATAACTCTATTCCAGTATGAACCAAATCTACTTTTCAAATTTTCCGTGTTGTATTTTTTGTAGTTAGTTTGGAACTTTTGACTCTGCGAATATCTAATGGAGACAGGAAGAGACGACTCGATCTTATAAGTTGACTAATATACGTGCACTTCAGCTAAGGCCCCGTTTGGTACACAATAAAAAATATAATCATTACAGGCTCACACAAAAAATAAAAAGTCAAATATGGTGGCTTGATGTGAGGATAACGGTCATATTTTTCATTTTAATGGGCAAATAATGGAAAACAAACGAGGGCTTAAAAATAATTCAATGTAAGTTAAAGCTCTTCGTTCCTCTTTCTTTAGTACCTGATTGCTTTTGTTTCTCGATCTTATAAGTTGACTAATATACGTGCACTTCAGCTAAGGCCCCGTTTGGTACACAATAAAAAATATAATCATTACAGGCCACACAAAAAATAAAAAGTCAAATATGGTGGCTTGATGTGAGGATAATGGTCATATTTTTCATTTTAATGGGCAAATAATGGAAAACAAACGAGGGCTTAAAAATAATTCAATGTAAGTTAAAGCTCTTCGTTCCTCTTTCTTTAGTACCTGATTGCTTTTGTTGCCCTTTTCTTCCATTTAAATAACTACTGATGTTTCCCTTGAGTCTTTACCTCCACAATGTTGGTCGTCTAATTTTATTTGTTTATTCTTCTTAAATACGGGGTTTGCTTTATACACTGAATTTTCTATAAACTGTGGTATGCCAAAGGCGAGGGTCTGAGGGCTCAAATTTGCATTATTGGAGTGACTTTAGGTGATATCTCTCTTTCACTATATAATTAAAATTTATTTGTTTCGATTATGGGCTCTAAATGAAACAGAAGTCCCCTTCGACAAGCTCGCCAAAGCCAAAAATAAATAATAAATAAAAGAAATAGGGGATGCGAATTTGTTCTCTCACTCTCTCTCTTTCTCAGTGACTGCCCATGTATTATTTATGATGATTCCACACCTCATTGTCTATAGCAAAAGGTTGTCATTCATTCTGTCTGTATGTGGCCAACATCCCCTGCACTGATTGCAACCCCATACTGAAAAATTATTTTGAGTCAATAATGGGTGGTGTTATGTCTTCTTCCTGAGATTTTGTCCTTTTCTGATCTGCAATGACTCATAAATTTTGGCATTTTCCTGAACTGGCAGAGTGTCGGAGCTGACGTCAACCTGCAACTGTTTAGGGGATTTTCAATAACTGCAGCTGTGAGGGAGGGCCACCTTGAGATCCTAGAGATCTTACTCAAGGCTGGGGCATCTCAGCCAGCTTGTGAAGAAGCGTTGCTAGAAGCCAGCATTCATGGGCGTGTTAAATTTGCGGAGATGCTTATGGGATCTGATCTTATTCGACCCCATATTGCCGTTCATGCTCTTGTCATTGCATCCTGTAGAGGTTTTGTGGATTTGGTGGATGCTCTCTTGAAGGTAAAACTGTATTCCGGGTGGCCCGTGTAAACTGTTGCATGGAGTGTTTGCTATTGATGACTGATTCAAATTGAGCAATTACTTATTTTTGAAAACATAAAATCGATGTATTAACAAAAGCAATGAACTAAGTTCTGAACCAAATAAATTTGGAGTTGGCCAAATGAAACAATTTTCGTTATGTTCAATTCTCTGTTAAACTAACAAGAAATCCAATGAAATCAAATCTCTGCAACCATATCAACCCCATTCTAATATTAGATTACAACGAAAAAAGACCTCCATTACTAAGTTTGACTAATTGGTTGGTTTACATATACAGTGCAATTGATTTGTGCATTTTAATTTTCTAATACCGAGCAGGCTATAAATGGCTAACTTGATAGTGGATTGTGGGTTTCAATTTAATATCTTTGTCTCACTATTATGCTCTCATAGAGCCTTGAGCATATTTTTGTCGTATTGATCTACTTGCCGCATAATGGCAGTGTGGAGTGGATGTGAATGCAACGGATCGTTTCTTGCTTCAATCATGTAAGCCTTGTCTGCATGCAAATGTTGACTGTACGGCACTTGTGGCTGCTGTTGTCAGTAGGCAGATTTCTTCTGTTCGTCTTCTGCTGGGGGTAAGTAAATTTACACTCAATTAACATCAATATCAAATTATGCCTGCAGGAAAAATTCATAGTTCATCTTGCTGAGTTTCCAAACTGTGGATGTCTATGCTGGAATATCAACTTTAGAGCATTGATAAATGAAAACAGAACATAAACAATAAGATGAATCCTATGTACCAAAAGCATTCTGGTTGTGGACAAAATATAACATCCTCGTGTTCGTAGGTACTAACGGTGCAACAAATTAAATTAGATGGCATTTTGAACTTGGTATTCATCATTAAATAGATTTCATTTCTTAGTACTGGATAATGACTGGGATCTCACGAGGTATTTTGCTTCTATAGACACTAGTTTACACTGCATCAGATTTATATTCCCTTACACGGTGACAAGTTTTTTTTGCTTTTCTTTTTGAACTTGGTTACTGACATTGGATTTTTTCTTCATTCAAATTTCGAAAACAAGGCTGGTGTTAGAATTGATGTCAAAGTGCAACTTGGAGCATGGTCATGGGATATGGCTTCAGGTGAGGAATTTCGAGTAGGTGCAGGACTGGCAGAACCTTATCCCATTACTTGGTGTGCTGTGGAATATTTTGAATCGACTGGTGCTATCTTGCACTCGCTCCTCCAATATATCTCCCCCAACACTCCTCACTGTGGAAGAACTCTACTCCACCATGCCATTCTCTGTGGCAATGTAGGAGCCACTAAGGTGCTTCTGAAATGTGGCGCTCACATAGAGACCCCAGTCAAAACCACTAGAAACACTCAGTTTCGTTCAATACATATGGCTGCCCATCTTGGAAAGATGGCGATTCTTCAGTGTTTAATTGATTCTGGCTGTGATCTGAATTCAAAAACAGAGACCGGTGAAACAGCTTTAATGATCTGTGTCAAATACAAGCAGGAAGAGTGCCTTAAAGTATTGGCCAGGGAAGGTGCTGATTTTGGATTGGTTAATATAAGTGGCCAATCTGCAAGTTCTATTGCTGGTTCCTGTGGGTGGTATCTTGGATTTCAACAAGCATTGCTTGATGTGATTCGAAATGGGAAAGTGCCCACATCTAGCGACATTTTTGTATTTTCACCTTTACTATTTGTAGCTCGATCAGGAGATGTTGTTGGCTTGAAAGCTCTGATTGGACAGGGAGACATTGACCTTGATAAGCAGGATGAAAGAGGTTTCTCTGCGGTTATGGTTACAGCAAAGGAGGGTCATGTTGATGCATTCCGATTGCTTGTTTATGCTGGGGCTGACGTAAAGCTGTGTAATAAGTCTGGTGAAACTGCCATTACACTGTCTAAGCAGAGTCCAAATAGAGATCTCTTCGAAAAGGTGATGCTTGAGTTTGCTCTTGAAAAGGGGAATCGTATTGGTGGAGGATTTTATGCCTTGCACTGTGCAGCTCGCCGTGGGGATTTGGACGCGGTCAGGTTGTTGACAAGTAAGGGTTATGATGTCAATGCTTCTGATGGGGATGGCTACACACCCCTCATGCTGGCAGCGAGGGAGGGCTATGGGAGCACGTGTGAGTTCCTCATCTCTTGTGAAGCGCAATGTGACATAAAAAATGCTAGAGGCGAAACTGCACTATCGCTAGCGAAGAATAATGGACGGCAGAATGAAGCTGAGAATGTGATCCTAAATGCACTAGCACGCAAGCTAGTGCTTGGTGGTTCACCTGTGCGAAAGCACACCAAGGGAGGGAAAGGGGCTCCGCATGCAAAAATTGTGCAAATGGTGGGACATACTGGAGTTTTACGTTGGGGAAAATCAAGGTGTCGCAATGTCATATGCCACGAGGCAGAAGTAGGACCAAGTTTATGCTTTCAGAGAAATAGGCATAGGAAAGGTGATGCCAATGAACCTGGAATTTTTCGAGTGAAGACAACAAAAGACAAGGAAATGCATTTTGTGTGTGAGGGTGGAGTTGAAATGGCAGAGTTGTGGGTGCGAGGAATAAGGCTTGTGAGTTGTGACAAGAGAGGCTAGGCAGACCTTGTAGTGCTGAAGAAGCTTCTAGGATGTACAGATATGTAGGAGTACCTCATCTCGAAGTACTTGGAATTCGGTTTTGATTGCCTTCGTTGTAAATTTATCCTGAATAGAGAGACAATTGAGAGATGATTCATTCTGGTAGGACCAATCTCGGTATTATTTCTTTGTTAATTAATAATTAGTGTAATATTTAGATTGGTGCGGGGAGGGGTGGAAGGATAATATCCAAACAGATGCACTCGTCGGGCAATATCAGTTAGAGCCCAGCCAAGACGCAATGATGAGAGAGTTGAGATTTGCTGTCCAATTTTGCCGTCTAAATGGCTGATCATCCAATTTTGACCATCTTTAACTCACCATACTCCTTATAAAATCATAATGCTAAATGCCATAATTTCATTGGTTAAAAAAAACAAATTAACTATTTTTTCCTTGAATAAAAGCTTATTTATCATAAAATGTTTGACATACACTCACAATGCGCGCGACCTGCTTGAATAAAAAATATCAAAAAAAGTGCTCCCTATTGTGATTGTGCTATCAATATAGACTGATTGTTTTTACTTATAAGTAAGAAAAAAGAAAGTAATTTATAAACATGATCAAACGTGGTTATTTTGAAATCTATCTTAACCCAGTCAAAAACAAGTAATGCCATTTTTTGTTTTGAGAATTGTGTACTCTCACTGAATTGCATCAATTGAAAATAAAATTGAAGCTTCATTTCTTTGTTCAACTAAGAGAATTGTAAAAGTAACGTATTTGATAAAAAATAAATCTCTAATAATTCTTATGTCCAAATTTTCAATGACATATCAAATTCCACCAAACGAACAGCTCGTAATTCCCCTTTGATGGAAATATAAAATAAAATTGGAAGAAGGAAGAATAGGAAAGGGAAACAAACAAATAAAGGGCGCTCAGCAACAGCCGACTTTAGTTTGGACTGAAGAAGTTATACCCTGCGGCTGATATTTAACAAAACGACATATCCCAATCTAGTGGCCATACTCCAGGCTCCCTTAGACTACATTTTTTTTTCTTTTGGTTTTCAGATATTTCTCACTGGAGCAAAATGAAAGCTTCCATTTTTGTTAGACCTGCAGGACTTCTATTTGTTTCAAGAAAAACGTTTCCCCACTCAAGGTACGCTCCTTTTTAATTTCGTTTTCATAGTTCTTTTTTACTTGAAATAAACGTGTTTTGTAAACAAATCTAATGAAACTAGTGTTTTTAATGCGTTATTTTCGGCCAAAGTGTGCTATTTCTTCATTCTTGTTCCCTGAATGCAAAGGAAATTTTCAGTAATTATTGGTTACTGCCATCTGATGACAAATAGTTCATTTGGTAGACAATGGAGATCGAAGGCCAATTGGAAATATATGCTAATGAAATAGCAAAGCCCATAATACATTACTTCAAATTATTGTTTAGGGATTCAAATTCTGCTATTCTTTCTTCCTCCACTTCTTATTCTTCATTTTTTTTTTAATTTTTTAATTTTAATTTTTGAATTGAACCCATTGCTTGTGGACAGGGCTGTACAACCAGAAGGGTCATTTTATTTTTTTATTTTATTATTTATTATTTTTTTTTTTTGGAGGAAATGGAAGCCCTATGTTAGGTTTTTTCCTATGAATTTGTTATTCTATTCTTTATGCAATTTTGAACTTTTTTCAATTTTTTTTTTTTTTTTGCAAATGCTAATCAAAGATAAGGAAGGTTTTTTAGGCTTTCTTGCCTTAACCTGATTTGGGAAGTTTGGTGCCAAGTTTTATTCATTTGAAAATCAATACGATGGACCTAGGCCTTACCTCAACGGAGTTTACGACAGAAACCAGAAAGAAATTAAGCTTAGTACAAGAGCATTTACAAGTGAATCTATACAAATTATCAAGAAAAAGACTCTTTTTCAATCTCAAACTAGAAAAGCTCCATTTGTCAAGCCTTAGTGGTCCCAAGATTTCTCCAGCCAGATCTTGAGGAAGTAATATCTTGAAGTTCATCTCTTTATCTTCGGTATTAGCTAACCAATCTGCCACTAAATTCCCTTCTCTCTAAATGTGAGTAAAGGCAACATCAAATTGCCGTTGCTAATTTATGTGCTCCAGATGATATTTTACATGCCAAGAGACGGGTATATCTTTAGTTATAAGTTGAATAGAAGCCTGTGAATCTACTTCAACCCAAACTGTTGCAATATTAACCTCAATCCAGTGCTCAACTCTTTAATTTCAGCTTGTAGACGGGAACAAGAGCCATAAAACTTATAATAGCAATAATCAATTCACCCTTGCTGTCTCGAATGATCCCCTCACCGGCGGCCTAGTTTATTTTTGCATTTAGACAACCATCAGAATTGAGTTTAAAAGTTTCGGCATTGGGTCCCTCTAATAAATCACTTCTGGCTGTTTCTGAAAAGTGGCTATCTGCTTATGCAACTTTGAACTTGTTTTATATTTCTTTCTCGTTTCATTCTGATATAATATGCGTTGATTTTAATAACACTGTACAAAGATATCCTTTCCTTCCTTTTCCCATTGAATTCCACCAAATTTTCAACATAAGAAATGCATAGTAGCAATTGAACAATACCATCAACTACAAAAGTGAATACAAATAAAAAAGGAGAGTCTTTGTACATCTAAACTGTGATGATGGGCATTATATTTGCTACACTATATTCCGCTTTATGATAAAATGAAAAACAGATATAACCTATTAATGATACAAATATATATAGCATTCGCTTGAGTGGAGTTGCTTGAACAAATGATAAAAAGAAAAAAAGGAAAAAGAGAATATAATTGTTAGGTGAAGAACTTTGCATAAAAATTGAGGCATCAGCTGCACCATAATTATGACTGAACTGAACTGCTTCTATCACTTAGGTGCATCATCTTGGAAGAATCGCTAGGTGCATCATCTTGGAAGAATCGCCTTCTCAAGTGCAAGTTCAGTTTATACTGGAATGTCAGCTTGACATATAGCTAAAAATTGAAGAACTACATCCATTTGATGGCCCCTAGCAATTCCAGTTCAGTGCCCAATACCCTTTAAGCTTCTAGTTTCGATCGGATGTTTCTGAATTTCACACTTACAGACCATTTACGACACACTCAAACACCCAAAATATTCGACTGCACAAAAATATTTATAGAAGAAAGGCCTCCATACTTTTAATACCCTCAGGACTCATTTTCTCTGAAGAGCTAATTTTCCCATTTAAGGTAATTGCCCTTTTTCCTTTATGACCATTCTTTTTATTACCATTACAAGAAACTACTATTTTCTGTGTGTGTTTATGTTAGCATGCAGATTTAATTGGGCACAAATTTTATATAGTTCTATTTGAGCCGCATTCTTTCAAAAAAAAATACATTTTTAAACAATGATTTGATATCATTTCAATAACATATTCTTGAATAAAATAATATTACACTCAAATCCAAAACTTTTCCTCATTTTTAACCACACATTCTCCATCAATCCACTATTCCAAAATACATTTTTTCAAAATAATGTGGCTCACACACACACATAACTCTTTTTATTATATTTTTTTTTATGAATGTGCTTTTCTTTGTGCTCATTTTTTATTCTTGAATGCAATTTAAAGTTCTAATGGTTGTTGAGTGCTTCCATTCGTGGCAGATAATTTTTGGTGGACAATTTATTTGGTTGTTGAAGAGTTGATTTGTTATTATGGTGAAATCTAAGAAATTTTACATTTCTAGTAACACGGAACTTAATTGATGACTTCCAGTCATCCACTCACAGGCAAAAAAGGGTTGCCTTCAACTATGGATCCGTAATGTTTGCATACCATAGACAAAAAATAAAGGAAATTCAAAAGTCAGATGATTTGCTCTCAGATACAGAAGTAGACTGTTCACAGTCTCAAAGAAAAATATTTTTTCCAATCAAATAATGAAACAACGCAACCCCCTCCAACTTTACTTTAAACCCTTGTTTGTGGCTGAAAATTCCATGACATTTGATTTGCACCTTAAGTGTCAAATTAGGGGCACGACATTGAATTAGAACAGCTCCATACTAATATGTAATCAACCAGCCTTGAGGTTTATAGCTGTTGACCTCGAAGAAATATTAACTAGCCTAATTTCAGTTAATATGAAATCGTCCAAGTTGTGAAATATTTATAAGAACCAGTAATCACAAAAATGGCAGTCTGGTATTTAATACTAATATATTATCTAATGTCTGACTTCGTGCCAATGAATATATGCAGGACTAGAGTTACCTTTCCCCAGAAGGTTTTCTTTTGCCAAGCAAAGTACAGTAAGCTATTAAAACTCTTAATTTACCCAATATGCTTGCATTTTGTTTTACCATTTTTTCCAAAATAATATTGTTGGATTTTTCTTCATTGATTGACAGGTGGTTCTGGAGTTGATGGAAAATTCAGCTTAAGGGTGGTCCCTCCGGCCTTGTTGGCTGCAGAAAAGGAAGAAGCCAAGGCTGTTCTAACCTTGTTCTTGAAGAAACAAGGTTTAAGTAATGTGGTGGCAGCGAGAACTATCAATAAGTCAGATGCTTTTGTTGATCATCTAGTGTCAAGGCTCCATTCTGTTCACAAGTCTCGCTACTTAGTAGGTTTGGTTTCTAATTTTGTTTCTCCCCCTATAGAACACTTGAAAGCAATTACTTTCTTTCGAATTCCATTGTCACAAAGCTTTCTTGGCTTTCCAGGTCGGGAACTTTCGACTCTTGAGATCCGGGAAGCTCTCATTCCGTACCTCGAGACACTATTTGAGGAGTACGGAGGCATTTTGGTAGATGTTGTCGAAAATTTTTCAAAATCACCTGTTGAGGAAAAATTAGAAGAAAATGTTCAAAAACAAACTGTAATAGAAACTTCAGTTGCATCAGTTTCTCCTTCGGTTGCTTCCTCTGACTCGAGGAAGCTAAAAGCCTTGGCTCGAGTTAGTGACATTAGCCCGACTGGGAAGCTTCCTTCACACATTGTCTACCTTGTAGATCTTGGCATGAAAATTGAGGCAATCAGGGAAGTGATACGCAAGTTCCCAGCTTTTGCCTACTATAGTTTGGAGGGGAAAATCAAGCCTGTTGTTGAATTTCTTCTTGATCTAGGTGTGCCGAAATCAGACATTCCCACCATCCTAACTAAAAGACCTCAGCTTTGTGGAATTAGTCTAACTGAAAATCTGATCCCCACCATGGAATTTCTTGAGGATTTAGGCGTGGACAAAAGACAATGGGCAAAAGTTATCTATCGCTTTCCACCGCTTCTCACTTACAGCAGACAAAAACTAAAAGCAACTGTGGATTTTCTCTATGAGATGGGACTCTCAGCCGAGAATGTGGGTAAGGTTCTTACACGCTGCCCAAATATTATAAGTTACAGCGTGGAGGATAAGTTACGACCAACTGCTGAGTATTTCCGTTCATTGGAGGTTGATGTTGCTGTTCTTCTTCATCGATCTCCTCAAACTTTTGGTCTTAGCATTGAGGCTAATTTGAAGCCTGTGACAGAATTTTTCCTTGAAAGGGGGTATAGTTTGAAAGATGTTGCAACTATGATCTCAAGATATGGAGCACTGTACACTTTTAGCTTGCCAGACAACTTGATATCGAAATGGGATTTTTTCTTGACCATGGTTTATCCAAGATCTGAGTTAGTTAAGTTTCCACAGTATTTTGGTTACAGTTTAGAAGACAGGATCAAACCTCGATATGAAATTATTAGAAAATGTGGTGTCAAATTACTGTTGAACCAGATGTTGTCTCTCTCAGAAGAAGACTTCCATAAACTTCTGAAGAAAAAAATGGAGAAAATGCTTGATGATTAACTTCTATGCATTGTATGTAGTAGATATAGTTCAATAATGAAGGGTGTACATGACTTGATCCAACTTCAGTTTGATATGGTGTTCCCTCTTGTAATGAATATTCGCTGGTTTTAAGATTTGGCCAAGTATTTGAATTATATTTGGCTGGAGAACGATATGGATATTCAATTGCTGAAGGATTTTGACCTACATACTTTCAGTAATTAAGATTTGTGTACGAGAATAGGTACAAGTTGAAGCGACGCACGATCTGATTTTGAAGTGTCCATGTCCGATAACTTTACAAATACTCCTTCAGTCCAAAAAATTAGAAATGCCTAACATGGGCCTTTTTTTTTTTTTTTTTTTTTTTTTTTTTTTTTTTTTGGTAAAAATACCTCTTTCATTAAATATAAGCATTTAACATTTATCTCCCTTTATATTTTTTTCAAAAATAAACTTCATTTTCAATTAAAACCAATATTTCAATTTTTGCTATGTTACTTTAACTTTTTGTTCAACCAACACTATATCTAAATCATTACCTTCAATAGCTCCATCTTATTTATGGATGTCACAACGTACTCAATTTTAATTAAACTAACAAAATTCTATTCCTCGTATGGTAACAAACAGGAGCAGAGCCAAGGGACAATACACACACTCACACACTCTAGACTAATATATATATATGGTTCACGAATGTGTATAATCTACTAAAAATGTTAAAGACAGAGTGATACTAGAATGACTATAGCGTAACTTATCATGTTTCTATTACGAAGTGACGATGATCATCCACATGTCCAATCCATTTCTATCTATTTATAAATTCTTCCCAAATGGATGCCTAAAATCATTCATGAAATTAATACCACAAATAAAATTCTCATAAAAAACTTCACAGAGAACATTTTCAAAGTTTGAATTACATAAATATGAATTTCTAGCCAGAAACATTTGAAGCCTATTGAATTTTTGTTGTGAGGGGGAGATGCAAATGCTGTTGTTCACATCATTCACGAATTTGATCGAACCAAATTAAACATATTTGTTAAACCACAAAGGATTTAAGGTATTTGCTAGAGATCTAATAAGTTTTCTCTTTTACTAGGAAAAATTATATATCTTACCACAAGAACCCCATTCGACAATTCACACAACAACATAGTAATAAACCTGTCACAGATATCTGATCAGAAAAGAAGGAAATAACTCACACTACAAAACACAAAAATCCCCCTCCACCCACCAAAAAGAAAAAGGGAAAAAAACAAATGGAAAGAAATGAAAAAGAAAACTTAATTAATCACTTGAAGATCCATCATCATCTTCGTGCTCTCTCACCACGCTCTCAACAAACTTCTTCGTGATTCCATCAAGGACAGCTTGGCGGGATTGCTCTCCACCACACTGTCCATCATTGAGCACGGGATCTGACTGGCAGAGAACGAGAGCAACACCTGAAAGATTAAAATATGCAATTCCATCACATTTCAAGAGGAATTGAGCAGCCTGAAATCGTAGAAAGACCTAAGAATACTAAGCCCCTGTTTGGTATGGATTATAAGTAGCTAAAAATCTCAAGTCAAACTCAACAACTAATTTTAGTCAAACATTTCATGGGACACACAGCTTTTCATTTATACATTTTATCAACTTTTATCAAAATCAAAATCTACTAAAAATTTGATTTTAATCTGCACCTAAATGGGGCAAAATATTTATTTGCCTATATGGAATAAACAATTTGATCCTCATTAAAGGTGTATTAATGAGGCTGGGGAATTTGATGACCTATAATATGGTGAGCTTGGAGTTATTTTTGGGACTCCCGTTCTTCTTTTTCTTTTTTGAGAATTTTAATAATTTAACAAAACTAAAAATATCAGACATTCACTGATTCACATATTCTGTTGAGGAATTCCATTCTTTACCTTTTCTCCTCTCCCTTGTATTTCAAACTATTCATTCTTAAAAGAATAAAATATTTAACACAATGTGAAATCTGTTCAACCATTACATCAGAATTTGAAAAATATACTTTAAGCCTTTTTTTCCCTTTATATCTATTTTTCGATTGGCCAGGGGAGGTTGATGAGGTATTTGCCTTGGGGAAGGACTCGGAGAAAGTATACAGTGGTATTTTGTTTATCTAAATGCATGAGAAGGAATTCACTAAAAACCACTTCCTAGAGAATCCTATTCCTATCTTTATTAGCGACACAGTTAACACTTCTACAAATAAAAAAAGTCATCTTTCTACTTGCCATTCCCACTACTCAATTTTAAGTTCTCCCAAACTTGTCCATGTTTTGAAAAGTCAACTAACATATTACTTTAACACCATTACAAACATTGAAACATATCGGTTGTCCCATAGACACGGCTCACAGCAATGTCTGAATAACCTAAAAGATAACTAATCATTTAAACTCTAAAGGATACCCATATAGATTAAAAATAAAAATAAAAAATTTACGGGCAAGGAGAGAAAGATGTATACTTTCGGGCGTGCATCTCCGACCAAAATTATGGAGCCCCACATGAGTAGCCTTAACAGCACCATTGTTATAAACCAGCAGCGTGGGAAGATTATGATCTGGATAGTTAGGAATGCACTCTGTGGATATAATTTTGACAAATTTTGTTGCAGTATATCTTGTTGCCAGTATTTGTATACATTCCAAAAGAAGACGGCACTCTGGAAATCTATTAAAAAGAAAAACAGTTAATAATAGAAGTCTTGATGTTGCCGATATTAAATTCGGTGGTAACTCAAAAAAGAACACAATCATTAGTGTGCTTGATAAGTACTTTACCCATCCTTGTACAACATCACTACTACCCAGACATCTGGAGGAGCTTGTGAAACTTCACGTACAAAATCTGATCCAGAAATTGGAACCACTGAACCAAACCGGGCAATCTTGACCGCTTCTCTCATCTCCATCAATCTCTTCTTCCTACGATAATTAGCATAAAACAAGACATAAGAACTAGAAGTGTTACTATATCATCTCGGATTCAGAAATTGTTGTTTTCTTTTCCTTTCCCAAGTTAAACAGTGGTATTTTTACAGATCTCATATACAGTAACCAAAACAGTGAGAGAGATGCCAAAACACAATATCTACAACTTTTTCACCCTTTAGAATTCTGTCTTGTGCTTCAAAATGAAATTTTGATGAACATTAGATCATCTTCACATCTTTTTAAGCCATTCACCACTCCTCCATCGTTAACTTCGAATTCAACTTTCCATGAAATATCCTAAAACAAAAAATGGTCAATTGATTCCCCCTCTGTATTTCTAGGTCCAGTGAATAGGAGACTAATTTTGCTACACCACCACCAAGTCCAAAGAAATTAAATACAATAAAAACAGAACCAAAAAAGAAATCCACGATGGCCTCTATTACACTACATTGTCTGATTCCTTCTTATCAAAGATAAAGCACCATGAACTTGATTTCGAGCTAATATTCACCGTATGAGTTCCTTCCACTATTATTTTACTACATTAACACTGCTGATAAAATCAGTATATCTGCGATTTACCTCTAGAATTAGGTTCGTGCTCAGTCACCAAATTAAGCGCCAGCCAAGTTAACAAAATTCCCATTTACAACAAGAACCAAGTTTAGTTTTAACAAATATTAATATAGAATTCCTATTTTCTTTATCTATCCCGGAAAAAGGAAATCCATGTTTCCTCAGCTGATAAAGTAAATTCAACCAAATCAAATGAATTACAAATCAGGAAAATATACACGAGGGACATTTCTCAATAGTTGCCATGACAAAGGTGTTATAGGAAAATAATTCATATAATGAAAAAGGGAGCAATACCTGTACTCTTGAAGGAAGCGATCGTCGTCGAGATCATCCTCAAGATCTTCTAACTCTTCCTCTGTTTTATCTTCTATCCATGCCTTGTCTTTAGCTATGGAATCCTCGTCATCGGCAACGGTGAAAGCCGGTGGCTTGAACGGCGCCGGCTTCGGCGGGAGGTTCCCTAATTTTCTCTGAATGTCGTCCCACTGCGTTGAGGCTCCTTCCACATCCTTATACACGAAGTGGTAATCTCCCATCGCCTTCTGCTCTGCGTTGGCGTTTTCTCTGAATCGGATCGATCGATTGATTCTGGAAAGCAAAAGAAAAAGCCAAATGCCAATTTAAGAGCGCGTTTGGCTGAGTGCAGGAAATACCGATTATGTCATTTAATTACAAGGGAAAACTACACTATTGGTCGCCATCCTATTAGTATTGTTACAAGTTGGACCTTAACTTATTCAATCGTGTCCAACATTTCAATTTTGTAGTACCATTGACTTCCATTTCATAAAACAAGACATTCAAATGAATGAAAAGAAAACCAATGGTGCTACACCTACGATGAAAAAATATACAGAGGGTGTTTGGTAGATATTTTTATATAAAAATGTATTTTTAAATAGTAAATTGATGGAAAATGTGTGGTTGAAAAATAAGGAAAAGTTTTTTATTTACGTGTAATATTATTTTAATAAAGAATGTGTGGTTAAAAAGAAGAGAGAGAAAAATGCATTTTGAAAAAAAATGGGTACCAAACGGGCTTACAAACATTTTACAGAATATACACATGAATTAGGCCCACCTCAAAAAAAATTCACGTGAGGCCACCTCATGTGTCTTCCCTGCCTCTGCTAGAAATGTCCAACAACGCGCCACGCAATCATAAAGTCGCCATCGTCGGAGAATAGAAAATACTTCCATTTGATGAGCCAATTCACACACTATCATCTATATATGTATGTTTATCTTTCCATTCGAGTATAAATAAGTGCAAAAAATGGATATACTATTCGCCTAGATCCAACGATGCCCTTCGTCAGTCCGGAGCCCTCATCCAAGCACTCCAGCAATCCACCGCCGGACGTGACATCTCCGTCATCACCAAGTCCGCCATTGAAGAGATCGTTGCCTCCCCTGCTTCCGCCTTCTCCAAGAAGCTTGCTTTTGACCTAATCCGCTCCACTCGCCTCACGGAGACCTATGGGTGAAAGGGGGCCAAAAACCCACATAATAAGTTGTAACATTCAATCGATCAGAATAACAAAAATTAAACTTGCAGAAAATAAAGAACACGAAAAGATTTTTCGGTCGAAGTCCCAGAGGTTCAGTGACTAAGCACCTAATCCCCTGTTGAGCATCCAATCAAAAATGGATATTGCTCGATTACACTAAAGCTCCAAAAATAGGCATCAAAGGTTACAAAGTTCAACCATTACAAAAATACACAGAAAAGAAACTTATCTCTTCAAGGGAACCACAGATCTGCCTCAGACCCACAACGAATCAACAGACCAAATCCCTAACCTCAACACATGAGGACTCTAAGTATCACTTAAGAATATACAAGTATTCAGTGGTTAACAACCTTCAAATTACACATCGAATGAAATGATTGATTACAAGAAAATAGGGAAACATAAAACCCTAACTCGAGAGAATAGAAGAACTCTCTCGAACCTCACTTGAAAAGTCAAACAAAATGAGCAGTCACACTGCCAAACGAAGCATCAAGTCCCTTATATATCACCAGAAAAATGTAACCCTTCATCCAACGGTAGGAATATAGCCAGGTGTCATCATCAGGCAGAATGTCACTTATAAAGTCGCATTTTCATAACACGTTTTAATAAGCTGAAAATATGGGAACAACAATACTATGGTTCGAACCACAACAATCTCCACCTTGCTACCATATTTTTAAGTTCAGTGCAACCAGGAGACAATATCACTTTCTTCTTTCATTTGCTCCAAGTACCTGCAATTTATCACATAGAATTAATAGATAATGTCTTCAAACAGTTTTTAAATTTGTTCAAAGGTATTATCTTTGTCCCCATATTAGATGTGTTATATTGTGTAGGTACTTTACCAATTTTCAAAATACCTTTTGAAATAATGTCTTTAATAAAATGATATTTAATGTCTATGTGTTTAGTCCTATCATGGTACATGGGGTTTTTACTAAGATGTATAGCACTTTGATTATCAGAATATAACGTTACATTTTCATCAACAAATCCAAGTTCCTTAAGTAATCCACTTAG